CTGCGTCCATTGGCGATACTGCCGGTATCGAGCCAGGCGAAGAACCTCGGCTGCTTGTCACCCAACCAGCTATTGACGACGTACACGAAGACTTTTTTCCATCTCCGGAAGATCGCGATGACGAGCACCTAGCCTCACACTCCCTAGGTTATGTCCACGCATCATCTGGAGTACGGCGCTGGACTCGAAAGGGTCTGAAACATGAAATTGACTGGGCGCTCATCAAAGTCGATGAAGCCCGCATGGACCCTCGCAACATCATTCTCGATACTACCAGATCCAGTATCGCTCGTCCAGGTCGTCCTATCCCTCCACAACCCATATTTCTAAACCAGGTAGCACGGATGGAGGAGCTAGGTGGCTTGCAAGTTCATTGTTGCGGCCGTACAAGCGGACTGCAGACAGGGCAGATATCCAAGGCTATGACATTGGTCAAACTCCAAGGACGACATTCATTCTCAACGAGCTTTTGCGTCAACGGGAACTTCGGAGGTAAGAGGTACATTTCAGCAGATCCATGATTTTGTCTAGATGCTCCTTAATTAGATACCCTTTTTTTGTTTTTCATGCATGCCCATCATTTGTTGCCCTTCTTAGCTGGTAAACAAACAGCACCAACCCCTCCTAAAACATGGGCTCGTATCGAGTAAAACAACATTTCATGAAGCTAATCTCTCTTGATTCGACAGCCCCTGGTGACTCCGGTGCATGGGTCTTCGACCGTCCCACCGGCCGTGTTTGCGGCCATGTTCTCGCCTGGTCCGCAAAAAGCAACACCACCTACATCTCCCCTATGGAGGTCACCTTCGATGACATCGCACGCACGCTCCGCGCCTCCGTTGTCTCCCTTCCCGGCGACCCGAGCCGATCGATGGGTTACATTGACCCTAACTCTCCACATTCTGCTCATTACCGCTACCAGGAACAGCGGCTGCAAGGCGACTTTGGCCGTTTGGCTTTTGGGGCTGGAGGTTCCCCCGGTCCGCCTGTACCACCCTATCCCCATAATTACCCTCACCCCCAAGCCCACCATCCGGTTTACGGACGTCCTCCACCTCCGCCTCCCCCCCCTCCTGGCCCCCGAGACGCCCGTGTGCCGGTGTATAGTGGCCCCGTCCCTCCGATCCCGCCGTCGCTTCTAGCCGGGCCCCGCAATATCGAGAGACAACTTGCCTGATTTTGGAGAATCTGGAATCCGGGACCTTTGCTTGAAATTGATTCCAGATTGTTCCGGGTATATCAATTTTGTTTTATGATTATGTTGATGTTATTGGACATTGAGGATACCCACGATGGAGCGATTTTTGGTTCTTTTTTCATTTACACTCTACAAAATCCACCTCTTGTGAACTATTCAAATGGCAATATTCATCAAAGGGGGTTACACTTGGTTTGAAGTAAATACAATGGAGCCAAGGAGAACACACTCGTCTCGAGGCTAACTTTAGTCCGCTCCGTTGGCCTAGCGGCATCAACCCTGCCCAGATAGTTTGCTCTTTCTTTTACCATCCTTTTAGCAAATTCAATTCATCCTTGAGTCAAAATGCGAAGTTGAACAACACCATTCACAACAGCCATGCCTGATATGAGGCCAGGAAGGCCGAACCTCATCAACAACATTGGACCAACAGGACGGGAGAATGCCATCGATGTTTACATTTCTCATTCCGGAGCCTTGCTGCCCATGGTTCTATGATACTTCACAAAATCTGTACAGTGTTCGCGAATATGCATCGCGATTTCATAAAAGTTGCGCAAAAAAGGGCCTAGTGTTGCTCTGCTTGAGGTGGGCCATTATTCCCAACTCCGCCATAGTCCACAACTGGAGACTTCTTATTTCCCCGCCATGTGTTGCTTGAATCTTAAACCAACCATGCGAACAAATGTGCTTTCAATTTTAAGAATCTGGCAATATCAGATATCCTTCGAAGGCCGCCACATAATAGCATCGAGATAGCACTCATTTTGGAAATTTGGAAAGTAATCATATTTGTTGAACGAAATACAGCGTACTTTCCACTAGACCATAACAAAAACCAAGGTTCCTGTTTATGGCCTAGGGAGGCCGTATTTGAGGTTTGACAATATTCAATAAAATTTTAACAACTTTCCCAAGACTCGATTCGGATTTTTAAAAATTCGATCTCAGACTTCATAACAGGCATTAGAACTTGCATTCATTGGAGCAAGCAGTACCGAGGGAACTTGACGTGGAAAGGAGTTGATAGCAATTGAAACATGTATATGGTGATAACTCTCAACCATCTCCACCGAGTTAAGTTACAAGTAAAAAAACGTAAACACTGTATGGCAAGGTAAGAGAGCTGCATTTCATAGTTTTAGACTTGAGATGGATCATTCAAATACTCAGAATGGCACAAATAGCAAGCCCAAATAAATATATCCCCACAATATCACACAATTTCATTCCACAGAAAGAATGTTTCTTATTCAAATATCTATCTCATAGAGGAGAAAAGACTATGGATATTGGGAGGTAGATTGACGTTGTTCAAAGATCCGGTGTAACTTTACATGCCGAATGGCACCATCTTAGCAGACTCAGAGTATGACCTGCTAATAGGTGAAACTACAAATGTTCCAAATGCAACACGAGCTTCACACTGGGTCAAGCAGAATGTGAGGACTCTGTCCTTGGGGATGGGATGATGCCCCGCAGACATTTGCAGGACTACATATTTAGGCTGCTGAAGTTAGCAGCAAATCTCATGATTAGGTCACTAGAATAGCCAGCCGCATTCGCGGCCTTGTGACATACTTCTGGTAATTCCTATCGGTGTTACAGTTAGAGTAGAAATTTACAAAGCGAATTTCATATATGACCCTTGATTTGCCCAATGTCTCTCTTGCCGAGTAACTTCTTTCAGCCCTTGTGTAATTCCAGCCTCCCGTTGAACAACCCAGATAACCTTGAATCCTGCACCCGGCTAATTGACAGTTGACAGTTGACAGTTGACAGATCCATTTGAGTTAGTCCTAAAATTACCTAAAGAACAAGACATGGTGAGATAGTAACCTAGGAACGTGACATCATTGGACATAGAGTCCGTTGTAATACCAGCTTGCTTAGAGAAGTGCCGAAGAAGAATTTGCTACGGGATACACAGTTAGGATATATTCCATGCAGGAGAACCACTGGTGGGTCTGCCTTTCACAGAACTGTGGACTGTTATAGGATTTTCAACAGCATTATTACAGAAAACATCAAAAGTGGAGTGGATCCGCTCTATAAAACCAAAGAAAGTAAGTTCAATCCACAATTTAACATTTCTCTCAGCAATTCGACACTTTGGCCAAACAATACCTTAGCTAGAATCTCTTGTACTGATGGATCATTCACAACAGAAATATTACAACTAAATTGCTTGCAGCTAGCCTCATGTCAATCCAAAAGAATTTGTTTCTTCTGATACTAGGACTCATTTTACTAGCCACCGTCGCCCTAGGAGCAAGGGTGACCTATACAGCATGGTACACGCAGGGGCTTGGGGGTCATCCAGCCTTTACTAGTCGCCACGGAACTATCGCAGAGGAACACGTGGAGCCTCTCCTAGAGCACATTGCTCAATGGTCAAGTGGAAAATACACGGCTGCGACGAGCAGACACAATCTCATCACCGTCGGTGCACACCAACGCGTGCACACAAAAAATGAGGCTAGTCAAGTGGTCCAGGATATGGTCCACCTGGTTTGCCAGCACTTGAAAGAATGTGGCGCGACTTCGCCCACCTCCGAGTGAATACTTTATGCTCATGTAGGTTTCCATCACGTCGATGCAAAACACGCTAGTTTCGTACTCGCGCGGCTGAAGACCCTAGCCTTGGAACTCGAGATACTGCTGTCTAGGATGCCAATTTGGTCGAGGGAAGAACGGTAATAGTAAGAGATGGTAGTTGGTGAATATGTCAGCTTATGGCCGTTGTATGGAGTTCTCTAATAGAGTTTAAGCTCGGCCGGTCATCAGCAATAGTCTGTCTTTGTGGATTTGGATATCATTCAGTACAAGGTTGTTTGAATGGGGAAACTGCATACCAACACGCACCTAGGCAATCCTTCAAGGGTGATGGGTTTTAGAAACCACAGCCGAAAAGGCGCAATGATAGGAAAATGTCTACGTGCGTGGTGAAATGTGAGAGTTGAGTGTAATTTTCAAAAAGAAAAAAAAGTAGAGTAAAGAAGCTCAAACTATGGAGAGAACTGTAAACTTTAAAAATCGATCAGAGACGGCTTTTTACTGACCTCGGGTCAGAATTGTGTAGGAGGCACAACTGCTGAGCATTTGTACGCAGCTTTCTAGATGCCTGAATGTCTGGTTTTTAACCTGGATATCTGAATCAAGACTGGCAAAAAATGAAGATGCTATTCCAGAGGTCTTCATAAGCAACCTTAAGACTGGAGGTACCCTTTTACACTGCACAAATCTAATTCATACATGAGAGCTGTAAACCACCCAAAAGTTGTTGCTGCATGGATTTGTGTTTTCAACTTGGATACCGAATTTAGAATGAATTGTATAGAACGGTGTAAAAAGCGATCAAGATTCCAGGGATAATCGGACATTCAGGCACTACGAATCCCCCAAGGAATCTGCGTACCACGTGAGCTTTCTAAACCTAATTCCCATGTCCGAGGCAAACTTCCAAGGCCCAGGACTTCTCAGGACTTGTCATTAAAGATGATCACAATAGTGATTTGTTACAGCATCTTAACGTGTTAATTGACAAAAGCAGAGAGTAGTCGGACAGTCAACAGCGATTTGATTTTTAAACTTAGCCTCCGAAACTTGGAAGCCAATTGAAATTAGGATAACCCATTATAGCTGAACGCTGAAGAAAAGTTGAGCAACCGTCAAAAAAATGATCATTCCCGCAATGTTTCCCAGAAAATCATCCTTAGCCCAAACAAAAACTAGATCAGAAAGAAGCCGATGTGTGTGTCATGATCCGCAAGGTGTGGGTGATGTGGGACTCAAATAGCATTCAAAGTCTGATGGCACGAGCAGCCCGTATCTCAAAGTTGACGTTGGGCATAAATCGGCCAAGAACACAAGCTATCAATTGACTGCCTTCCAATATTCGCTCGTATTGAATGGAGTTCTCATTGAAGAGTCGGGGGCCCAGTTCCACCTCAAATGTCTTGCTTTTACGTTCCCAGACCATTGTTTCTCCTTCAAGTGTGTCATGAAGCTCCCACCGCGGCTGTACCTTTGTGTGGTTACCATGTATCACATTAAAGCTTGGATGCTCGTCCGCGATGATGTACAAAACTATGTCGCCGGAAAAACAGCGAAGGGTGTCGGCAAGCGAAGTCAAACACCGATCATGTATCAACAAATTCACAGGCACGGCAAAGTGACCGACTTTGATGGGAAGAGAAACATTCTCCGGAGAATGAGCCGACTCGTGCACCCCCCAACACTCGTCGATGAAGAGTTCAAATACATCACCGCCAATCCATATCAGGTCGCGCATTGGCTCAAAAGGGCGTAAGAAGATAAAACACTGTCTGTCATTATGGAAAATGACCTCAAATCCCTGCTTGTGTGCCCATTTGAGAGCAACCTGACGAGCCTCGTGGTTCACGTCGGCGAGTGGGATCTTGACACGGATTTGATCAAGTGATTGGGGGCAGAACTTCCACTCCACAGGGGCTTGATGGATGTTACTTGCATGCTGACTTTCAGGTGCAACAGGGAGCCAACCACCCTTTGGGTAGGGAGTAAATGCAGGCTTGTCCCGCTCGGGCAAAGCGCTACGCCATATCTGGAGGCGCAGTTCGGTGGGAAGGCGGGTAAATGGATGAAAGGTTTTGGAGCCGGCCGCCGATACGACAAAATCGGAGGTCTCCATGATATTATCAGAGATTTCAGGTTGAATACCAAATGATTGAGATTCTTTTGATAGATAGGTTAGTGGTGAGATTGACCTTGTAAATGATGGTTACACCTGACTTTGGTGCAAGTGCCTTAGGCACCCGTGGTTTGATATCACCTTGGACACCTCCTCGGCACTTGCCTGCCTTTTCTCTTGATTTTTCTCAAGTTCAACAGAGCAACATTTTTCATTGCTGTTACAAGCGCTGTTACAAGCTGGCTATCATGAATCGGAGAAAGGAAATCTATGTAGCAATTTACATTTTTGGTCAAACTGTACTTTTCTAAGCACCTGAGAATGAGGTCTGGTCTCTGATCTCACTATTTAGTCGTCAGTCTTGAGGTCCCCATATCATTTATATTCAAAAATATCTATCTCGAAACTGTCACACTACATATCCAATTTGGACTTCGCTTCAGGTTCATTCGAGCTAATTTGTGTTTAAAATGGACGCAGCGCCAGGGAAATAAAAAAAAAGCCAGACTAACACTACAAAAGAACGAGTATACACTGATTCTCTCACGAAATTATTTTGTTCTATATGAGACTGCTAGAATGCAAGATAATCAGAAACCGTAATGTAACGTAGCGAGCTCGATTGTCGGACTCCAGCATCAGAAGTTTGGACGGCCACCTTTTTAAGAGGCCATGGCATATCAAATCGTCTATCATATTGAAGTCTGAACGTCCGTTTTGAAAATTCTATTGTGAATCCAGGACTCGAACAATGCTCTTTTTTAGAGCAATAATCCAATTAATATCGCATGTCCTTTGACTCAGTCTTCGCAGAAACAGAAGCAGTGAAGCAGGTACACAGAGAGAAAACTGCAGAAATGAATGCAGTACTTTATGCGAACCCCATTGCTATGAGCTATTCAGTGTACACTATGGAGAACAAAGACGAGCAACAAAGGATTGCCGACTGTCAGTGAGTTGAAACGTAGCTCAAGATGAATGACTCTCGCACACTCCATTTTAACAACTTCTGTGGACTTGAAAATCTGTAAACCAAATATGGGTCGTAGTGGCAAAGTTTCTCCTTCAAAATGATGTATTAGCAGTTCATTTTATCATGACCCAGATAGGAAATACCCTATCGATAGCTCGATAGCTCGATAGCTCGTGATTTCAGACTTGTGTACAAACAGCAGTATAATATCGTTCTCCGCCGAAGACGCGTCTTTGTCAAAGTGCGTCTGACCTTAGTCTTGACTTACTTCCCATTCACTCTCATCTGCCTTTCCATTGTCGTTCTCTTACTCTCTGCCGTTTCTGACTTTGCTCAAGCACTCCAATTTTCGCAATTTGCGTATTTTCGTGTCTTCAGCACGTCAATTCAAGTATCTCGGAACGGATCTGCCTTCCTCTGGGATTCGTCACGATGCACCATTTGCATTGTTTCCACGAAGATCCCGAGCCGGGCACTCGGCCCCTCAAAGAATGGCCATGCACCCCTGATAAAGCTATAGAGCTTCTCAAGGAGTGGTATGACAATGGCAAGCCTTTCTTCACGAAGAAAGAACTTGAAAATGTTTCGAACCAACTCCATCGCCGGTACAACACCCGGAGAAAGAGTAATTCGCAAAAGCAACTGATCTCTGTCAAGGGCCTCACTGGTTCCAAGATCTCTTACGAAGTGGTGACTGGACAGCTTCATATGGGAGCAGCCAGGAATGAAGACTGGGAGATGTAAGTCGTTGATGATGCCCTTTCAGGGTTCCAATGTCACGTGTCTCTAGCTAATAGATGCTTTTAATAACAGCCAGCAGCCCAAGATCACATACTTATGCTATGAACAACTCATTTCGGCAGTGAGTTCGGGAAAAGGTCTGCTAGAGGAAGCCTTCTTCCCATTGCAGATCGAGCATTTCATGCTCGTGCGCGCGAGTGACACCAAGCTACCCATCTCCACCCCATACATTGAGAACCGTGTGGCTGTGGATGAGTTTCTCCAAAATACGCTGAAGTCCTGGAAGGAATCCCCTGAATGGCAGATGCTAAAGGCTCTTCTCAAACATGTTGCCTCTCATGAAATCACGAAGATCATCGGTATCGCGTCTGGATCAATGGAATTTGGTCCCGATGATGAGGATTGCACCTATCGCAGCGCAATTCAACACTCCCTTATGATTGCGCTCAAAGAGTCAATTGAAGATATGAATGATGAAGAGATCCGATTCTATGCGCAGGAGCCTCGCTACACCGCCGTTGACACCTGGGCTCTTGCGGAGCATGGCTGCGAGGTTCTGGAAGACCCCAAGGCTTTGCTTGAAATTGACAACGACTGCATTCTTTTCTCTTGCTGCCCCGCTCTTCCGTTGAAGGATATTACTGTTGACTTTGCTCGGCCAGCGATGCTGATCTGGGACCGAGTTATCTATGAAGGAGATCGTGGGTTGTAAGTCTCACTCTGATGCTGTGCTCACTTCATCTTGCTTACTGATCAGTTCTCCCAGGCATAATCCAAACTCCGCTCGGGTGATGAACATGGTTGAAGATGAATATGATCTCTATTTGTTTTGGGACTTACACGATACTGTGCTTGCTCCCTTCAAGTCAGAACTTGTTGTTTACATCCGCCGTGAGGTGGAGTAAACTTGTCGAAAAGACGATCTGTCAGGGGCGAGGGAAAAGTTTAAAACTATCTCTTTCGTCTTGGAGGAAATGGGGCGGTTTCGATTGTCAGGGGAATTTTCAAGGCCCAAATGAGTTTTTGATTGGGTGAGAAGCCAACGTTTGTTTGAAGAATGCATCCATGATTTTCGCATCTGCACAGGGCGGGCTCATGTTGTTGTACCTTCATTGTGTATCTATGTCTTTGTTTATCTGTAGCTTTACCAATCAGTCTCCTCTTTGTGTCACAACATCGCTAAATGGTCCCTTTTGGCCGCTCTTGATCCTATAAATGAAGCAATGGGCATGTACATGGCTGCATTCTCTCGTGCGGTCATGAAAAATCAAATGGAGCTCCTATAAACTGTATTTCTGAGTCTAAAATTTACTTGTAAAACTCACATTTGACATAAAAGTAGACAGGTGATTTACAACAGGTGTAGTTATAATTCATTCGAAAATAACGATTGAGAACTACACGGCATTAAAATTTGATACAAGTTGTCTACAAATAAGTTGGAAGGCAGGCAGAAAACTGCAAATTGTCCTATTTATTCATCTCTGGAATAGGATGCCACATTTCTAGACTTCTCTTCCATCCCAGTAGATTCATGAACTCCACATTTATTTTTCAACAAAATCAGAAAGTGAATCAAATCAAAACGTCCGATCGTTTAGTTCCACCAGGTTTTGATGGCTGAAAGCGGTCTGGATTGAAATGTTTTCCAGCAATGTGTGATGTAACTCAAATGTGTAGAAATGGGCGATGAGGGTACCAGACTTCACCAATACCGCTAATATATTCTCTATGAGTCCAAAATCCTTGAGATACAATAAGTGAATGGTGTTTATATGATGCCGGGTTAATTGTTGCGTTAAAGAACCCTAATTCCATGTTAGGTACTAGGAACTGACTATGACTCTCAACAACGAACAACCAGGAACTCAGGATTATAGTAAGAATAGGTCTTGGGAGAGTCAAACTTGAGTTTTGACCATGTCTTTGGGCCCCTCTTTCTCCTTGCATCACCCAGGTTAGCTGTGAAAGTACAACCTAACGTTGGAATACATCTTATAGCCACTCCTTGTTCTAGATGGACCCACTTGGCAGGACCCACCCAACACAACCTTATCCCAAAAAAGATCTTGCAAGATCCATACTCAGCACACGAGTCTTAATTGTCTTCTATGTTATTAACATTGTGTTGAAAATTAAAAAAAAAAAACTTTTTTAAATGGCCTGGGGAGCAGATATAACTTCAAGAGTTCGTCGTTTTAATTTTTACCAATCCCCACATCCGGTGATAATTACCAGGACTCCCAGGTATTTTCGACTATGCTCTTCTCTTTTGTTCTCTTACGCTTATCACTGTCTGTTGACTGTAAATCGGGAAATTACGACCGAAAAATCCTTTTTTCCGTTGGTTGTATTGAGATAGATGCTGCTTTTGGGTTGTCTATCGTATTTCGTGGGATTAAATCGTTCCAAGCCTTCTACTAGTTCCATAGATCCAGGGTTGAGAATACTGCAATGTGTGCGCCCGAAGGAACAGCCGCCAGTTATGTGATACGCTGCACCTGCATAGTCGGAGAGTGCATGATTGTGAGGGTCGGAGGTGACAAGGCATTGAAACACAAAACCTCGACACCATGAAGGTCTCTGGGGCCAGAGCTAGTCAACGGAAAATCTAGGCCCTATCGGATGTATCTTGCTCCTCATACTATCTCTCATCCTTCCAATTCACTCTCAGCGTCATCCACGCTCTCCCATTCATCTTCGTCATCGCTCTGTTCAAGATCTGCCTCTTCGCCAAGCATGGTAAGCAGCTGTAACAACCCGGCCTGTGTACGCCAGGCGTCTTCGGATGGCAGATTTGGGGCAGAACTACCAATTTTTTCTGCCTTTGAGGGCTTATCGGTGTCGTCGGAGGCAGAAGAATATTTGTCAGAAAGGTTAGGAGCCAGGCTGAGGATACGGATGACTTTTGTATGAAAAACTCGGGGAATATCTCTGCCTTGCGGTGGAGGCATGCCATCTGCGACGTTGGAATCACGCCAGCCAAGGGTCTGGAAATTCTGATATTAGCTGTTCTGCTTTCGTTTTTCTTTTCTTTTCAAAGGTCTAAAAGGAGCTCACGGTGTAGGTAGTCATAATAGCATCATCAGCCAACGCCATATAACTGATAGGAACAGCAAGCTGCGGCGCAGAGCTAGTAAGCAGCGAGTACGAGGCACGGGCAGGATTCTCCAGATTCTGAACCTTATTGTTGTCATCAAGGGCGACAACATAGATCCGATCTTGAATTTCGAACATCACGCGATGGTTGCGGATTGATAACCAGCCACCAAGGTCAAAACTTAACCCATCTGATTCGCATTCCAATATGAAGCTCTCTGTAGCGAGACTAGCTTCGTCACAGAGAGCCTTGCGAAAGGCGGGGCATATGAAAACACGACCAGCGCGAGAGAAGCCCACGAAGAGATCGCCGTGCAACATTCCTGCTCCCCATTCATCCTCCCCGTGCCAGACGTGATCTGGGTCATCCGGTGGTGACAGTGGACCTTTAGCGACTTTGATTGGCACTAAACAATCATTTCTAAATGCTCCGGGTAGGAGGAGCTGAGGTGTTGGGCCAAGTCGCGTAGCGCTTGCTAGTGCTGCACTTGCAGAAACAGATGAGGCTTTCGGAGGAAGAATGTGATATTTTTCCGTGGAGTTGCACGGCTTCAACGTGCCCAAGAAGGCACCAGACTCCTTGCTGTATGCAAAATAGCCTTTTCTTCCCATCGAATATACTACAATGTCTTCGCTTTGGTCCAAATGGCCAATGCCACCTCGCTCAATCGTCAGGTGTGTGGTCAACTGGGGAGGTCGCTGCTTCATATCGTACACAAAGCCCTGGCCCTCATTGGAAACGACACAAAGAGTCCAGTAGGACAATTGGAACCCTCTCGTCTGGCAATCATGGGTCAAGGTAGCGATGCGCCGGAACTCTCCACGCTTTGCACCTTCATGGTCCGTCTGCCAAACCTCGAGCGAATCCCCTTCACTATCAAACACGGCCATACCATCCTGATATTCCAAGTGGGCGTGTGGGCGAACTCCGTCTCCGTCGGTGTCCAGCACCGAAGGGAGTTGCCAAAGGATATGGCCAGTGTCCATATCAGTGACGTTCAACCCGCCAGCATGTGAAGTGGAAACAAAAAAGCGGCGCTTAAAGTCGGCACGGAATCGCCAAACGGGATCGTTGCCAATTTGTAGCACTGATTCCTGGCTGACAGGATGCGGTTCCGCCCAATTGCGGGCCAGCAGTGTTTGGCGCCTGCATAGGTCTTTCCATGATTCCGTACCCTCGAATACTTTGGCATAGCTGTGGGTATCGGAGAGAAAGGAGAAATCGCGGCTACCTCTTAGTGGCTGGGCAGTTTTGGCTTCGGATTTGTAAATAGTTTCTTGGTGAGTGACGTCGATAAATTGATGCCAAGCTTTGGAAGCCGCGGTCAAGGACGCAAGGGCGGAGACCGGGGTGAAGTGCAAGATTTGCAGGACAATTTCTGGGGGCAGGACAGTAAGAGGGTCCGCCACGGGTGAGATGGCGGTCATATTTTCAAAAGGCGATGCAGGGTTGTTGTAGAAAGCAAATTGGAGATGTGGGGGTTCGCAATATTTTGTCGTACTCCACCCTTTATACGATGACGTAGCCGTTTTTATGTCCATGGACAACACGCTCAGCAAATAGCCTCCAGGGGAACTTCGGAAGGCTTTGCTTTAAATTTAAGCTTAAACAGCTCTCAATCCGCTCGCCCCGAGGTCCTCCGAATTTTGGATCGTTCCCAACTGAGCCTACGCTGCAATGCCTGCCTCATCTGAAGGTGCCTTATTCGCTCTTCCACATTTCGCACAAACTTTTGCCGGTCTCCATAGCGGTTTCTGAACTCCAACACAAGAGTCGGAATAACCTCCCACTCAGCAGAGCAAGAGATCAGCAAATAAACCAAAAAACCGAGAGCTGCGACCATGAGGAAATGAAGATAGCATGGTGCAAGTAGTAATAGCCCAATCCACTATCCTGAATCTTCTGTGACGTCAATCATGATGATCGACATTACCACAAATAATGACACGCAAGCCAAAAGACGTACCACATTTACCACTTCTCTCGATGCTGTCGTTTTGTTGAAAGCTTGCCTCAGTAGTAAAGAAAATCCTTTTTTTCGACAGCCTAGTGGACATTCTAGGTAACAAGGGTATTCCATTTAGTCGAATAGCCATACAGAGGATGACATAATGTAAGATGGAGTGCCAGCAGCAACAACCAAGCCGAGGTCATAAACACTACTATTTATTCCATAGCAGTATAGCGCAGGTACTCCCATCGCTCTGATCGGAGCAGCTGAGGATATGAGTGCGAGGGAAGACAACAGGGCAACCCTCCAAATCTTTGCATGAGTTTCAAACAAAAGACTTATAACTTGAGGCCATTCTTGATGAAATCCTTCTTGGTCTTCTGTCCTTTCAACTTCCGAAATGATGTGAAGTCCGACCGGGGCAGTGACATAGGAAAAGGACTTCTCGCCTCGGTCTAGGCGTCTCGTGCAATCGGGCTGTGAGCAGGGGTGTCGACACAGCAGCCTTTAGCCACCGAGTAGCGCTGTGGCATGGATGACATATAGTAAAATAACATGTCTCCCCTCTAAAGGCACCACTCATTTTCGTATGAAAAATGTTCATGTGAGGTTGACGAAAGGTGGTTTTTGCTCTACCCCGCAAGTACAAGCAAGTACACGCGACAACCCTGCACATACTTACCAACTGTCCCGTTGCTTGGCACATCCTCGAGGCTGAGCGCAAAGCAGCCCAAAAGCAAGAAGTGATTAGATTTTCTCTCCCAACCCTTCACCAGTCATGGGTAACGAGACCCTTCAACAGTTCGCGGCCCTCGATCTCGACTACTTGATTGTAGGCGGAGGTACCGCAGGTCTAGCTGTTGCTGCCCGCCTGACTAGTGACCCTGAATTCTGCGTGGGAGTCATCGAAGCCGGCCCATCAGTTCTAAACATAGATGACAATGGCGCGATCAATGTCCCTGGTCGGTATGGCGAAACCATCGGCTCGAAATACGATTGGAAATTCAAAACTACGCCACAGCCAGGTCTGGGGGGGAAGATCACTACCAAGGCCACGAGGTCGCATATTAGGTGGCACAAGTGCGCTCAATCTGATGGCGTGAAATCGGGGCCATCGCAAAGACTATGATTCTTGGGCAGAATTGGGGAATGAGGGATGGGGATGGGAAGATCTACTGTATGAGCTAAAATCCATGCTCTATCTTGAATCTCACCTGCTGATCCGTGATGTGTTGAATTCCTGACAGGCCCTTTTTCCGCCGCAGCGAGAATTTCCACCCACCGAGTGCCGCTCATCAAAAACATTATCAGTCTTCTTATGATCCCCAAATTTACGGAACGAAAGGTCCTCTACATACATCACATACCAAGCAGTATGGCCCGACACACCAATACTGGCACGAGACGCTCAATAGTCTTGGGGTCCGATCCACCCGCGATAGTCTCGCCGGCGATAATACAGGCGTTTGGAATCTGATCTGCACAATTGACCCAGATACCCAGGAGCGCAGCTATTCCGCCTCCGCATACTATCAACCCATCGCAACGCGCCCAAACCTGCATATACTGACTGGAGCAACTGCCCTAGAAATCCTATTTGAATCCGAGGATGATGAGTGGTACGCAACAGGGGCCCGTGTACGCTGGAATGGACAGGAAGCAAATATCAAAGCATGCGAGGAGACAATCGTCTGTGCTGGTAGCGTGCAATCGCCACAACTGCTGGAGCTATCCGGCATTGGCAACCAAGTTGTGTTGGAAGCTGCTGGAATTGAGACAAAAGTCCACAGCCCCAATGTAGGAGAGAATTTGCAGGAGCACATGAGTATGAGATGTAAACAGTGCTCCCTGTGATCTTGGCTGATGTTTATAAGTGACTGCCACCATCTTCGAAATCCCCGCCACGATTCCAACCCGCGATGACATTCTCCAAGACCCAATTCAGCGCGAAGCTGCAGACCGCGCCTATTACGCTTCTCAGACCGGACCTTGGACTGTTATGCCCTGTTCAGTGGCGTATTGTCCACTTTCGAAGATCCTATCACCTGCAGAATGTGACGAACTGCACACCCAGGCTAAGGAAATTGCGCGAAAAACAGGACGTACGCGTGACGCTCTTTTAGCCAGTCAATTCGATTCCGGGCAAGCGCGTGGTCAAATCGAGTATCTCTTTGATCTTGGTAACTGGAGCCCATATTTTGTGTCTGAGCCCGGAAAGAAATACGCCACTATGCTGCAAAATGCTGCAGTATCCATTCTCGCGCGGGTCTATCCATATACCTCCTATGAGCGAAACCAATTATGAGAGGGCCACAATTGATGACAAGCCCGTGATTGACCCGCGGTATTTTCTAGGACCTGGAGAGATTGATAAGAAGGTCATGGCCAAAGCACTCAGATGGGGGGATCGAATCTGTCAAACCGAGCCTTTGGCCAAACTCGTGCACGGTCGAGTCTTTCCTCCTTCTAACAATGGGGCAGACTCTGAGGAAAAAGTATACGAAGAGTTCGTCTCCAATTATACTGTGACCGATTGGCATCGTATGTTCTCCCTCCAAGATTCATTCGGCAAATCACTAAACATACATACAGCAGTTGGAACCTGCGCTATGGGTAAAGCAGATGGAACCAATGCTGGGGTTGTGAATGATATGCTCCAGGTGCATGGGGTGCATGCCCTACGGGTTGTAGATGCGAGCATCATGCCATTGCAGGTGGGGGGCCCACATCCAAGCCACCGTATATGCGATTGCAGAAAAGGCGGCGGAGTTGATCATCGATGACTATTTTGCTCGAATGGGTCCTCTATAAGATCACGAGGCTCACATCCATTGATCACATCCCATCCAAATGGCCTTGCAGAATTCTTGCCCAGTAATCGCACACTAACCAGGGCGACTGTCCCAGAATATCCTCCAATTCGTGTTTTTTTTTGGGGGTCATTATTGCACACCTCTCGAATTTCGGAGATATCGCCTCAGAGCAAGTGAAAAGCATCCGGTTCAACCGGACTGCCCCACCCTTGATCATCACCCATGTCTGTGAAACACAGCCTCCGTGCACAAGCAATCTTGGCGATGTCCTCGAGATGAGGATTGCCTAAGGATTTTGTTCAATGTCAAGCAAAAACTGGAATGGCTCTGATGATGCCTTTAATAAAAAAAAAGGACCGGGGACTGACAGCAGAACTCCCCCGATCTTCGGCTACCGCCGGCGTCTCCCCTCTTAGGAGGGGCAACCGGGCGATTTAGTCTGCGAGATGGACTTCGGATCTTTTTCCAGGGATTGACTGGATATCTTATCGTTCACCAATCTAACAACTCCAACCTCCACATTGCGTATTAACCGTCGTCACACTATTTGTTGCTTGACTCATCTCTCATCCGACACGGAAACTGTTTCCCGCGGGGCTTGAATATATCCCAGCCCATCTCACCCAAACACGACCACACACACATATCCTCTGTCCGACATCATGATTTCTGGAATCGCCCATATCAATCTCTCAATCCCTCGGGATACATTAGAACAAGCCGAGGAGTTCTACGGGACCACCCTCGGACTCACTCCGTCGCCGGTACCGGAATTCCAGAAAGGCACAATCCTGTGGTATTGAAGCGCCTTCTTTCTCAAGGAAAAGAAAACTTCTCTAATTTCATCGACAGGTTCGATATTGGCTCCAGTGGACAGCAAGTGCATATTAGCTTCGGCTCGACCGATCCCCTCTCTAGCCGACACCCATGCTTCAAGTTGTCTTCCCGCGAGGAACTAGAGGAACTTAAAACAAACATCTATGATCACCATGTACGCGGTGGTGCTGCAGCTCCACTGGCTGCCGATAAGCCCGGCGAGGTAAACTCTGGTGAGTGAAACGTTGTCTTTGATGCTTCCCCCGGTATAACTAGTGGCTGAGTATCACTACAGGGACTCAAGGGAAAGAATATCCCACCCGGTTCTTCGCTCGGGACTTTGCTGGAAATCGGCTTGAGTTTACTACATGAATAGTTCTGTTGACTTGAATCGAGTTTGCCTCTACAACAGTGCGGGTGTGGGATTGTCGTCCGAGTCACTGTCTCGATGGTGGCTAGGATATCATTGAGTAACAGTCACCTGTCTAAAGGAGATATTACGTACGCATTACCTTTGAGCCCAGGCTTATGTGAGCTTTATATCCCAGAAGCTGGCATGAGATGTTGGAAAATTTCGAATCTCTTCCTTCCAAATCCACACATTCCCAAGAAAAGTAGTAAGCCAAACAGACAGTCACAATCAATAGCATCAAAGCAATCAAAGCCCCCATAACACCACCTTTAGCATCTCGCCGTCTAACCCTGCCCTTATCTGGAAACACCGTCGACATCATCGTCAATCCCAGTAGACTTCCAAACGGAACAGCAATCGAAGCAAGACACGAGATCCGCGCCGTCAATGCAGGGAAATACGCCAGTCCGTCTATATACGCTGGATTCTTTCAAATCCCGATGCCGTAGATGGCATTAGTTTTGCCTGCGTGTACGCCCCATGCCAGCATGGTCCTACCTCTACTGTCGACATTAGGCTGCCTAGGAATAGGACTGGGAAGGTTTATCGAGGCCCAACGTTTGAGGACAAACATTGCCATGTAAATTCCGGCTCCTTGGGTTTGGTCAAGATAGTTTCACATAGTGAACATGTAGGGTACACATCTACATACCAGCCGTGCAATCCCGGTATCGCTAGAGCTCCTCCCTTCCACCAATGTAAGGGAAAAAAAAAGGATTCTTGAAATACCCAACAACAAACATTACTATCCCGATCGATAACTTCTTCAAGAACAGTAAACCAATATCACGCCGTCTCAATGATTCCCACGGAACCATAGCCATTTGACAGACCCATGCACTATCGCATCTTAATAAATACCTATCTAGGCATTCATATCAGTAACTTTCGCAAGACGTCCCAGCACTCGCACCACTATCCGTATCGGGACATCCACGCGATATCCAAATCTCCGGTCAGAATCGCACGATGGTAACTTCTGATAAGTGACTCCTGGTCTGTTTCTACAAACCCAGAAAAAGTACTTCGTAACGGCATGCTTGATAGGCGGACTTTGAGGATCTTCTAGATATAGGGCGAAGCCAACTTCAATTTCCATTCTCAGCCTCAGCACCAAACCCCGGATAAGTCACGTTCGAGACGGAGCAGGGCGTACAACGTTACACCCAACCGGATTAAGGCGTGGCGTAAACGGGGCCAAAGCCACTGAACGGACGAATAGGACAAGCCTGTTGCCTAG